TATTCTAAAATTTGTGATGAATATATAATCTTTATTTGTTCATATGTTGATCACATGTTGATTGTGAGTAATCACATAGATGAAATTAAAGAAACAAAGAGGTTTATATGTTCCATATTTAAGATAAAAGATCGTGGAAACCATATTGGGTATTAAAGTTACAAAAACTAATGGGATTTTTTCTTTAGTCAATTACATTATATTGAAAATATGATCAATAAGTTCAAATATTTGAATATAAAAGAATTCAAAATCCCCCTCTTGATCTAAGTTTAAAACTTATAAAGAATGATGGAAAAAAATTGCTCAATTGGAGTATTCAAGGGCTATGTGAAGTCCAATTTATGCAATTCAATGCACAAGAGTAGACATAGCATTTGTAATTAATAAATTTATTAGATTTACTAGTAATCCAATTAAGGAACAGTAGAAGGTCATTAGAAGAGTTCTTGACTATTCAAAGAAAACTAAGTTCTTGATTATTTAAAGAAAACTAATAACTTAGGTCTACAATATTCTAAATTTCTGACTATATTAGAAGAATTTATTGACGCTAGTTGAATATCTAACACGGGTGAAAGTAAAACTACTTTTACTTTCGGGTTAGGTCACTCTTCGAAGATATGCTGCTTCTTGAAAATTAAAGAAATAAATATATATCACGCATTAAACTATGAATTTGTAGCATTATCAGATACCGAGAAAGAAGTTGAGTAATTTAAGGACTTTCTTTATAAAGGTTGAGCTTTAAGCTCTTAATAAAATTTAGTACTAAAATACAAATATCTCTAAAAGTAATAAAGATATTGAATGAATTTCACATAGATGAACTCGAGGTGTCTCAATAGAAAGTTGGAGTTTCTCTCTTAAAAATTCGTTGAATAGGATGAACATAAGATCATATTAGCGGTAAACGAGATTGAGGAATTTAAGAACACGTGATACTCATGCATGTGTTCTTACCAGTATTTTTACAAGGAATGATTAGTCAAAGTTTTCTTGCTACCTTTAATTTCAACTTTACTTAGTTAGGATTGTACTATGGTTAGATTCAAATTAAAAGATATATAATCCTTATGCATAAGTATTATATATTTTGAATATGAATTTTTTTTTTTTGAATATTGAACAAGTGGGAAGTTGTTAAAATTATTCTTCAAAATCAATAAAATAGGCTTTGAAATGAAAAAATGATTTGGAGGCCAAAACTTTGGCCTATGAGAACGTAAAGGCCTTTGTAGCTTGTAGTCGCATAAAGACATGCAAGGCATATAAGCCCTGCAAGTGATTAACCTATGTGACAGCATAGGTTTGTTTTATGCGATTGCATAGAACTAAAAAATAGTCGTTAAAACTGATTTTTGTTTGAATTTTTAGTGGCATTTGGTGAAAAATTTGCAACTTTGTACGGTTTTTTGCCACTATTTCGTGGGTGTTGATTGAAATTCATAAATACATGATAGATTGTTACATCGAATATATAATTCAACAACTTGAGATCAATTCTTCATTCCAAAAGATAGAATTTGCCCTTGTTTGATCCCTTTTTCCATCAAATTGCATTTTTGAATCGTGATTTGATTACATTTCAAGAAGGATCTTACTACATGTACATCAAATTTTACATAATTGATTGCATAATAATACACGTCACTCTATTATTTATTAATTGAAAACACAATCAAACTTTTTATCCAATATTTTCACTCTACATCATTTTATGTTATCCCTTATGTATCATTTTACTGTACAAGTAGTATATTCTTTTCAACGATATATTCTTCAATAAAATAATATTACACGCAATCTTTATTTTCGAATCATACATTCTTTATCATAGGGATGACAAAAAAACCTGCTCCGCCCCGAACGGGTTGGCGGGGTGAGGCAAGGCGGGGCACGGCGAGGATGCCCCGCCCCGTGAAGAAAAAAATTAAAAAAAAAAATTACTTCTAAACAATTCATCCATTAAAAATTGATTTTGAATTTGTATTTTATTCTCTAATAATAATATAATTCAAAACTTTGAAAATGTAAAAAAAATTAAACGAGGCAAAAAGTTGCCCCGTCTCGAACCTGCCCCGTTGCCATACTACTTCATCATAACACTATTGAAAAATGCATTTTGAAAAACAATGGGGCTCAAGCAACCCCTTTATATTCTTTTCTTCATATTCGAATTTATTTCCAAGTGTTTTTGAAATTTTGGTAAAAAATACTAAGTTTTTAGGAGGTTTTCTATTGCAAGGCTTGATTAAATATTAAAACCATTTGTCAATATCCCTTTAAGCAGTAAATTCAATTCGAAAGAGGACAAATATTGTTTGTGGACACCGATTTTTGTGTGTAAGCCTTTATCTTTAATTTCGATCGAATCTTCTATTATCACTTAGTCTTCGATTGCCACGCAAAATAATATGAATCTTCTCATTGTTTTAAATTAAAAAATAACTATTGAATGATTATTCATGTATCCCTAACTACTGAATTTCTATAATTATTATATCATTGTAATCCTAATTCTTGTTCTTAATAATATTCACGAAAATCATTGATTTTCTATATTTTTTTTGGTTAATAGCACAAAACGTCTTTAAGTTTGACATTTATTGCGTAAAACATCCCAACGTTTCATTTTATTTTTTATTTTTGCATTTTCACCCTTATTTCAACGTTTCATTGCAGAAAACGTCATTTTTCACCATCTTTTAATGTAAATTGATCAAAATATCATCATATTTAAATAAAACCCAAAAAAGAAAAGGAAAATAAAAAATAAATTGCAATTTTACTCTTATATTTAAAAAAGTGCAAGTGAGTCCAAATAATTATTAAAATATCTAATAACACAAAACGTCCCTAGGTTTGTCTTATAGTGTGCAAAACGTCCCCACGTATCAAATTGGTGAAAATGACCTTTTCCGCAATGAAATATGGAAATTGGGACGAAAATACAAAAAAAAAATAAAAATAAATTGAAACGTAGGGATATTTGCCGCAAGAAGTGTTAGACATCAGGATGTTTTGTACTATTAGATCTTATTAAAATACTTAAAAAAAAAACACCTCTCTCTCTCTCATCCAAATGGGATTGCTACTTTAGAAGTGAAAAAACTCTGACAAAATATCATCCAAACGGTCGAGCCTCCATATCGTTGAACCATCTGTTGATGTTTTAAGACCATGAAGAGAAGCGCCCTGGTAAGTATAGTCGTTTGGTGTGTTGAAAATGACGTGGGTCTCTCTAAAACAGATGGTGCGGCTGGAGTTTGGGCGATAGTATTTGGAAATGGTATGAAGTTTCGGCGATTTGGGCAATGGTTTCAATTTTAATAAGGCCTAATAGCATAAAACGCTTCTACGTTTGACACTTCTTGCGGAAAAGCGTCCCTACATTTCAATATTTTTTGTATTTTCATCTCTGTTTCCACGTTTCATTGCGGAAAACATCATTTTTACCAATTTGAAACGTAGTAACCTTTTGTGCTACTAGACATTTTAATAATTACTTGGACTCATTTGTACTTTTTAAACATTTAGAAGTAAGATTGTAATTTATTCTTTATTTTTCTTTTCTTTCCTTTTTGGTTTTATTTAATATGAGGGTATTTTGGTCATTTTACATTAAAAATGGTGAAAATAATGTTTTCTGCAATAAAACATTGAAATAAGGGCGAAGATGCAAAAAAATGAAATATAGGGACGTTTTTCGCAATAAATATCAAACGTATGGACGTTTTGCACTATTAACCCTTTTTTTCCTTTATAGTTTATAATATTTATTAAATTTTGGAAGTGTTCCTAATTTTCTAATGCAAAATTGGTTTTAATAATAAATTATTGTTCAAAGTCCATGGTCAAGGGGGGTGGGATGTGATGTGACCTATGTAATATGCCAAGCATGTCAATAGAGGTGTGCAAAATTGACCGGAACAACGAGCCATCAAATGGATAGGCCAATTATTATTATTATTATTATTATTTTTTTTTTTAGGTTTTGCTATTCGTCTAGGGTTGCAAGAGTTGCACATTTTTCTCGGAGCCATTCGAATTAGAGTGAATTGAATTGTTCAATTTAAATCTAATAAAAATTTTGATGGTTCTAATTCTTAAAGTCAAGAACAAGATGATTTTGATTCGATTCTAAATTCTAGATTCAAAAAAAAAAAAAAAAAGACTGAATTTTAATTCGTTCCTAATATTTTATTATTTATCAATTAAAATCAACCATTAAGTTACTTTGTTTAAATTTACATGATTTAGTTTCTATGCGAACGTTTAATAGAAAAGATGACATGTTTCATTCGCTAACCATCCAACTTATACCGAAATTAAAATTTTGACATGGTAACGACCACAAAATTTTGTAATCACGCAAATTGGTCAAAAAAACATGAGATTCTTGAAATAAGCATTTGGTTACTCTATTTAAAATTCCCCACACTCACACTCACACTCACACATAGATGGATAATGGAAGTCAAAGCTAGAAACTCATTTAGCCCCACAAATAATTGGACTACTAATATGAAATTGTGGGCTCAAACGTGCAGGAATGGTGGGTATGTACGTATGTCATTATCCATAATATTCAGATTTTAATAAATTTTGTGGATTTAATAAATTTTTACAAAATTCATAAGAATCTCATTAAAAATAGTAAAATTTCAAAAGAATTTATTGCATGTGTTTTTAAACTTGAAATCTATCCAGATATTTTAAAATCTTTCTATTAGTGAAATCCCTATAAATGTATGAGTTATTTTTGTTGCTTATATTTTAAAGAATTTCTTTGAAATTCATTGTTGAAATAAACTAAATCTCGATTGGAAATATTTAAATTGAAATTAATTTTTAAAGTATATCAAAATCACAATTGATGACACATCCACTATAACATAGATATAAAGATACAGGAAAAAATAAGAGAAAATATAAATAATAGAAACAAAATTTCTATAAATACCACCATCTTCCCACTGAAATTTCAACGAATTCACTTGAACGACAATCTGGAGGAAAAAATTTGGCTGAATTGTTGCGTAGTTTCATCAATGTTTGTATAACTTGATGTCCATGTTTCTTGCTTTCGTTGAATAATAAATTTCAGTAAACAAATGTGTTTATTTAAAACGAAGTGTTTTAACATTATACTCGACTCGAATGAATGCCGCAAGATTATTTCTGTTTTTCACCTTTATTCTTTTGTTTTTACTTTTGGAAACTGCATGATTTCTTGGATAAAAATATGATCTTTCTTACAAATGAGGTAATTCTTCT